TAACACACCAGGATGCCCAGGGTCAGTGCGTTACTCTAACACACCAGGATGCCCAGGGTCAGTGCGTTACTCTAACACACTGTGATGCCCAGGGTCCGCATGTTATTCTAACACACCTTAATGTCTAGCATATAACAATGAAGCAAGTAATGCTAATGTCGTAGCCAGGGCCAGAAGGTGCCAGAAAACAGGACATAGACAGTCACAGGAATTAGGTTATCAGGCCTCTCGGATTCATGACAAAGGCAGGCCACATTAGTCCTAAAAAAAGACAGTGAGTTACTGACTTCCTTTACACAGACAGATAAATATATGAAACATTTTCCAGAGGCTGCCTCTCCTGTCAGCGTGCGACGCCCTGCAGTCCTGGCCTGCGTCAGATGGCAGGTTGATGCTAATTAACAGGCCTGCCACTGATACTCAGCTCCTGAAATCAAGTTTGGTATGTTTCTTCTACAAAACTAAAAATTGTTTCACAAAATTCTGATCCGAGTTGCATGTTAACAATGCTCCTGAGCTACAGATGGTCTGATTTTGAGCTGCAAATGAATGGCCTAATTCTGCATCTCATATAGCAACTGATTCTGAACTGCAGGTTAATTATCTGATCCTGAGATGCAGACTAATGGTTTGAATCCCAGCTCCAGGCTAACTGTCTGATCCTGAGCTGCAGGGTAATGGTCTGATCCTGAGCTGCAGACTAATGGTCTGATCCTGAGCTGCAGACTAATGGTCTGATCCTGAGCTACAGGCTAACAGTCTGATCCTGAACTGCAGGTTAACAGTCTGATCCTGAGCTGCAGGTTAACATTTTGAATCTCACCTATTTCTGTCCCCTCTCCACAACTCACCCCCCTCTCAATCTTACCTTAATGCTGTGTCTGTGAGCCGCATCCATGATAGCAGGTACCAGGTCCTCCATCGGTTCCCCGTTGTCGTCTGCTAGCCCCGGCGGGTACCAGGACAGCACCAGAACCCCTGTATGGCGGCAAGGCCCCACCAAGTCAGAACGCCTCGACCTCACCCTCCTAGAGGAACGGCTGCTCCAGTGTCCTATCCGCAGAATGTGTGATGGCAACCCGGGCCAGAGAAGTGCATCATTTAACCTATTGATTCACCATTGACTTAGAACCATCTTCACAGTCCTTACAGGATAATATACAGAGGTTTTCTGTCACTGTCACAGAGGCACCTTTCAACACAGCAGGTACACACAACAGCTCGTAATTCTCCAGGGTTAATGTGGCCTGTAAGTAACATGCTACAGCAGGATGGACAGGGGCACACAAGTGCTGACGGACAGCCTCTTGGTCACACCACATCCAGCACTCGTGACTGGGCCACCAGCCCCACCAAATCCCTCACATTACAGAAGCTTACGGATTTTTTTCTTTCTTTCTTTTTTTTTTTTTGTGGCTGCCGGTGCCAGTTGCTCAGATTAACTGGGATTCTTCCTCACCCTGCGCTCCCAGGGGTGTCTTCCTGGTCTCCATCTGTCACCTAGTGCGGAAAACTGGCCGCACCCTTGCTTCCGGGGCTGGGCTTTGACGACGGAGCCAATGGCTGCAAGTGCACAGGCCAAGGGCTCTGGGTCCATTGCCCTGGGTCCTGGAAACATCACTCGCCCTCTTTAATTGTCCTGAGATACGCCCCTGAGTTGCCCCCATACCTGTGCTAATGGTGTTATCTCTGGGGCAGACCTCTAGAGAAGCAAAAATAGCCCTCTGAGTAAGAAACGGGAAAACAGTGTTCCACTCAGGATTTAATTTTATAGCTGTTATAGGTCTGGGTGGGGGGGAGGGGGGTGGTTGCCTCAGAATAAGATTGTGGTCATCAGTCCTACTTCAGCTACAGTCCCGCCAGTTCCGAACATGTGTCCTTGTGCGAGAGCCCCAGGCCCACCAAACAGCTCTCCTTGTACACAAAGGCAAACAGGAAAGCTTAAAGCAGTTGCCCTGGTTACCTTGCACCAGAGCTTAACACCATAATTGTCACCTTCACCATTTCTTTAAAACGACTAGTGTGAATGCAAGATCCTCTCGTTTTAGAAAACAATTTCTTTACATAAACAAAAACACAGAAGTAACTGGATTCACTTCAAAAAGAAAATAAGTTTTCTGATACAAATTAAGGTGATGGTGATTTCACACTCCTTCAACATCTGCTTTTGACTGGTCATCAGATATCAGGAGCTGTCCTCTCTCTGGGTCCTGAATCACAGCGTGAAGGATCTGAACGCTTAGCTCCTTCTATATGGCGAACTATAAAATAATTATAGCGTCACTTAAGAGAGCATCATCAAGCGACTAAGCGGTCAAAGTTACATTATAATTTGATCTGAGTCGGCCCGTTTGTAGGTGGACCTCGCGCGAAGCGCTCTTATTTTCTAGTCCCCGTGATTTATAACTGCGCTTTTTGGATGTTTATCAAATCAGCGCGAAACGCCAATGCACCTTCATACTGTACCTGCTGCCGCAGCTCCTAGCTGCTTCATGTGCGACTCCAGCACGGCCGGGTCCCTCGAGCTGTAAGGTCCCAGCTCTGGGTAGAAACTGGAGCCGATGTCCTCCGGAGGCGTGTGGCGTCCTTTCGGATAACTGGCCGCAATCTTAGGGTCCCAGTGTGGCACGAGAACGTGGTCCCAGTGGATGTATTTCCCATCGATCTGAGGGTTTCCATACCACACGTAGTAAAATATGTGAACGTCGTAGAATATGTTTCTCTCCTGGTCGGCATTGCGGAGGACGACTTTAGTATTGCTTGCAGCTCCGACCTGACCCGGCGAGACCACCACGTCCTTGGACGCCGAGCGCCGCTCCATCCTATCGCCGACCATCGGCATGAGATCCAGCCCTGGTGCCAGGTCAGAGAAGCCGTCGCTGGGCTTCAGTGTTCTCAGACCCATCATAGTGCCGAAAATGAACAGCGTAAACAGAAAAAGAGCCACGCAGGCTTTCTTACGGAACCTGGCCATTACTGAATTACACTACTAGGAAAAAGTAAAGCCGAGTTGTTCATCCGCCCGAGCTACACGCGAAACTCTTTCTATGCCGACCTGCTGATCCGAAGAGAGGGGCTGCTGTTAGGCGATTCTGCACCACACTTCACGCATACGAGTTATTCTCCCACCTCCACCAAAATACATCCATTTGAAGCTCCATAACATACGCGATCGGTGCCTATAAACACCATTTCTGCGCCATTTTATGTAACGGAATTCTCTTGATGCGAAACTTATTTCAAACAAAATTGTTACATGTTTGCGGAAAGTAACGCATACTTCTTTTCCAACTGCAATAATGTTATACTGTATAAACACGCTAATTAGCAAGACACGACCCACAATATGTGTGAGTGAAGATAAGAAGTTTTATTTAATTAAAGCACTATTTATAAGGAATATATCAATCAAGACCCTATGAAGATTCCACCAAAACCTGATGACCATACGGATGCTCTCACTTAAGATAATTAAGTTGCGCTGTATAATATTATTTTTACTTCATTTACTGTAAATACTGTAAAGGTATTTGATCGTATTTATTTTTGTCGGGACCAGCCACCAGTAGAGACATAACGAATATGCCCAGTCTCTCGCAAACTTGCTACAGTTAATGGATGCGCAACGGACGAAACACTTTACCGACCGAACACCGATTCCGCTTGTCGCCGAACGGTCTAAAACTGCCTCCGAAAACGTGTCTTTGTCAGCTAATGCTGGATTTCCGCTTGACGATCCCCCAGTTTAAAAAGCGGTTCCAGCATCGGCAGCGGCGCCCACCATTTACAGTCGTGGGCGAAAAACAGATTCAATCGCTTAGAGGAAAAACTGCCCCTGCAAATCCTCCCGAGTCGTTCTTTCTGGTAGTCAATCCCATCACTCTGCACAGCGGATGGATGGGGGCTCCCATTTGTTGAATTGTCAAAAGCGGAGAAGCATCAGCGGATCGCCCCCTTGCCCGAGCCGCTCCAAGCAGCCTGCTCTCTCCCCGCTCTTGCGCTGCCTTGTGGACGGAGAGCCACGACGAAGAGCGAAGGCTTCATCCGGGCTTTCCACCCCGCACCCCCGCCCCCAGTCTACGTGCGCTCTCCGAAATCGTTGTGTTGATATACATGATTATGCTCGCAATCCGCCCAGCATCCCGAATGTTTGTCTTTATTGTACCATTTCTCCTACTTTTCGGAGGCGGAGCTCATCCACCTTGCAGGCTGATTGTATGGCGCCCGGCGAAGGGGGATAGTGAGAGGCGTGGGGTGAGGACTCGGTCCTAAAAGGTCCTTTAGCCCCGATAAAGCGCCTATGGCGATTCTCTGTGAACGGGGTTTCCAGTGTAATATCTATCAGTTAGACATGTAGGTGTTTATGTTAAATGTTGCGTTTTGGCAATGCATTGTGGAAGGCAGCCAAATAGCACACTTAAGCCTATTTTACAGCAAACAGCTTTTCTTGGTTTTTTTCCCCCGTATTTTTCCCCGTGCCTGACTTGTTCTCACAGTTCCCTGTATATTGGCCTTACCTTGTTATGACCTTGTCACCTTATTGACAGTGGCCTGGCCTTTGTCCCACAACCAGGGGCGCCGCCAGGGGGGGGAAAGGTTAGAACAATTCTAGGGGCCCAGCACTGACATGGGGCCCTGTTAGGGGCTTTACCTTTTCGCAAAAAGGGGGGGGGGGGGAGCAAAATTGTAATCTTTCATGAGGCCCAAGATTTCTGACGCTCCTGCCCACAACACTATCCCTCTCTTATTCAAATGACACTGTTATTACCAAACTACATAAGTTAGACTTAAATTTAGTCCGAACCCCGTCTTTCGGTCATATTATGGTTTTTGAACTGTAACATTTGACTTTTGCACTGTGGTGTTTGCCTTTCTTTGACTTCGAGAGCCGCTTATTACTGTCAGTCAAGGGCATAACGTTGGGTTGAGCATGGGTGGGGGGGGGTTGTGAGGTCTCCACCCATTTAAGGGGTCCAGGGGGTTGAATTGGTTGGTTTTGATTACTTATTAGCTTTTTTTATTATCCCCTCATAATTCATGCCCACGCTGTCAGTCACGCGCGGAAGCTGTGGTTGGTTATCGACTGCAATCTACATCGACGCACCAGCTGTAAACCGAGGACATGATTGTTTTTAGGGGGGGTGGCTGGTCGGGATGGTTGCTAAAATTGTTTCGTTGATGCATAAAGAAACGTTGTGCAGTGTGCAAGTATCAATGAAATAACTGCAAGTCATGCAGCATTGATTAGACACAACTAGAGGTTCGGCGCAGATAAGGTCCGCTAAGTCTTGGTCTGTATCATTATGTTAATCACGTAGCGCAATAGATCAAGAGATTTATGTCACGTTGAATGCATTGACAGCGTGACGACAGGCGAGAAAGAGCAAGTGACATATCGTTGAATAAGGTGTCGCTGACCAAGAAAGACCAAGTGGAACTTTGATGTTATAAACAGGTGTCTACAAAAAGATCCGATCATTTATGCCGTGATTTTTGGTGAAATTGATTAGCCCAGTACTAAACGACATAGACCTATACATGCTTTACGTGACATGGGGTATCCTTCCGTATTAATTTAAACGGATGTTTATAGCCTATTAGTTCCATTGAAAAGTAGCCCGTCAAGAAATTAGGCCTACATTTATATTTTTCTTAATTTTTATTTGGCATCAGACTCCGCGAATTGTGCTGATGAGAAGGCCTACTATCGGAAACGTCTATTCCATTCTGGTCTGTTTATCCTTTCTTACAATTTTCCTATGACAGCTCTGTCTAATACACTTAGGCAAACCAAGCACGCCCCGGTCTTTTCCACATGACCAAGACCAATTATTTTTTTAAATTGTCTAAACGCACGCTAATGAAAATGAAATATTCTGGGACATGTCCGTCTCCACCCAAGTGCTCACTCGGTGTGCGTCTGGAGTGACTTGCGGGCCGCCACCTGTCACTCGGATGAAGTTACACCGTCTTCAAAGCGCTTCGGGCTTCTTCGCAAATGACAAAGTGTCACCTTCGCAGGTGACTTTGCACAGGGTAGCCGCCGTTTGCAGACGTTGGGGAATATTGTGCGTGGGGAGTCACAAGGAGGTGTCGAACAACCAGGGAGTCTTATATTAAAAAAAAAAAAAAACACTTACAGGCAGTCGTCGTAATTTATTCACTGCTTTGTCTTTTTGGCTCGCCCTTATTTAAATAAAAGATGATGTCTGGTCTATTTGCCAGCCGGCTATTCTGGAATATGAGAAGCTTTCGAGCTTAATGCATTTGATACTTTGAACAAGGATTTCACTCTTCCCTTTTCTAGCAGATATTAGGCTACATTAGTTTGCATGTTGCCTGGTCATACACAATGGAGGGCAACACACTTAATTGTGTGAGTGTTAGACCGAATCTGCTTGAGAGCATGTACGGTATGTATAGGCTATCAAGACGAACCAGTCCATTTGAATAGCTAGCGAGTTTTTATTTGAAACCGAAATGTTTTTGGTATGAATACGATATTTTGCTTTGGTTCCAATCGAGGATTTTTAAAAGTAAATTTAAAAGTAAATACTGATATTGTGTTAGCCAGCATCAATTAAGTAAATGCTTTACGGAATCGCAAAATGTTTTTAAAGTAACTATTTGTCTTTAAAATCTAAAAGGAAAACACTACATAAAATACACTGGAAAATGTGTGAAATGCCCAAATAATTATTGAAAACCAGGTTTAGTAAAAGCTCGTTACTCTGTGAAAGTCCAACAGGTAGGCCTAATTAGTTTAAAATATCAAAGTATATTGGTAAATATAAAAACTGTAAATCATGTTGAAATTAAGTGTATTATTTGAACAAACAATTCAGTAGGCCGGTGCTATTTACCGCCGTGAGTTGTGGGCGCGCTTACTAGGCACCTACTGACTTTTTTTCTGTATGCTTTGGTATGAGCCCAACACAATTCTATGATAAATCAATACATTTTAAACCTCCACGTAAAAACAGAAAGCCGCAGGCGAAGTTCAGCTGAAGCTGTTAACTTCTTTAAACATGCCAATAAAACTGAAAATAAATGACGATCATTTCTTAATTCGTTGTTAAAAAGGAATGGGCTATATGATATGCTTTCATAAATTTAGAACTCTGAATGAACATAACCGATGTTAAAACACTACCAATTTAGTCCCCATCGATTCTGCAAGACCCTTCGCTTTACGTTTTTAATGCATTGCCTCTGAAAAGGACATTTCTGTGCTCGTCTCTAAGCAACAGAAGGCAAAGGATTGTTTTTAAAGTAGCGTTATGATGCTTTGCTTTATTTATGCTTTAAATCTCATAATGAATTATAAAGGATATAATGGACAAGGTGGGCACATGTGCTGTAGAATAGGCTGTGTCGTGATTTTTTTTTTTAAATATCCATCTTTGAGAAGTCTGGCTTGTATTTGAGGGTGCGCGCGGGTTACGCCGGAATATCAGGCCCCTAGAAGAAACACTGGAGGTCCTTATTACATTATCCATATCGGAGACAAAGGCGAAATGCCCTCGGTTTCGACAGCAAGATAAAATACTTATTTGTTTAAAAGCTTTTTATGCATACGGGCATCATTTATCTGACTTGAGCTTTCATGTTTACAACCAATAGCCAGACTGGTGCAATTATGTTTTGCTAATAAAATCTGGTTTTCAGTGTCATGTTTTCGTATTTCTACAAAGATCTTATTTATAAACAGGCCAAGATTTGGATTTAATGTCAGCAGAATTAATAAACACTGCTGGCTTAGATTACTCTTTCCAACAAATGCGATCTGATCCGCGGAAGATGTGTCCTCCGTGGTCTTTAACAGCATAGACCGACTATGCTACTATACAGTGTTTGTCCAAATACAAAGAGCCGCTTTACAGAAGTAACAGTGAGTATGGATTTTTCCCCAATGGCTGTCAGTCATGTTTAGTGAGATGTCCAAACTTAATGCTACTAAGCCACCAGGGGACCACCCTGACCCCCCAAGACCTGTGACACAATCAAATGCTGAACAAGGGTGGGGATGTCCACTTTCCTGTCCTGCTTGGGGATTCTCAGGGGTGGACTTCCTGACCATGGTCTGCAATGGTGTAGATGACTGGGGGGGGGGTGTTAGAAATCTATTAATCACACAGGTGACACCCCTTTTCAGCAGAAGCCCCTGGACTTCAGCCCAACAACAAGTCCTTTTTGTCAGTCTCAAATTCATTTTTTTGTTTGTTTATCCACCTGTGTCTGTAAATGCTACAGAGACAAATCAGGTTTACATTCTCCTCTGCAGCTTAGAACAACTACAACACCATGCAATGCACAATGCATCAGGGGCCCGATTGGATGGGAAGGGGGTTAAAGCAGTGGGGAGGGGTTTTGGCTCATTAATTACATTTAATTGCACTGGACCAGGATTTTAACATGGTGGCAGGAAGGGAGGGGGGCCACAGTAAAGCATAGGAAGTTGCTCCAAAAATGCTTAATGGGTTTCACAACCTGTTCTATCTAGCTGGGTGACAGCAGGAAAATGGTTAGACCTGTTATCTTTCACTAAGATAAGAGCAGATAAGATCAGGTCAGACAGAATCAGGCTAACCTGCACAGCACGGGTTGATCACATCCTTGTCATCCATCACCAGGTAGGTCCACGCCGTTCGTGCATCTCCAAGGCTGTAGGAATCTGGCCAGCTTGCTTTCTTGGTTTTCAGCATCTGGTGGCTTTACGTGGGCCCAGTCTCCAGTCTTGTTTTTCTCCCCACATGCTGGTTTGTGTGGGAGAGTTGGCAGGTGGAGAGGCAGTCTTATCAGCTTCTGCATCCCGGCAACAGCTCAGCTCAGCTTGGCGCCACTGTCAGCCGTCATTCTGTCAACAGACCTGGCCACCAGGGGGTGCTGTTTCGGTAGGAGGGTCGGTAGCTGAAAGTAACCTCCCATTTGGCTTCACAAGCCAAACCACCCAGACCAGTGAAACCAGAGACTGCAGTCACACAACACCAGCATCAGAT